TTAAAAGTTGTTAAATGTTCTTTGTCACATGGCCTCCTAACTTCTTATACAGTTGACTACAGCTGCTGACTCCTCTGAGACGGTTTATATAGGACCCATTTGATCCACTCATTAGACACAGCCAAAAACAGATCTGAAAAAGCTAATTGTTGACTTGAAAAAGTCAAGAAATTCTCCAGGAGCCACTTTAGAGTAGCTACAGATCTCAAAATCATCTGTGTAAACAGTTGTTTGTAAGTTCATGGTACAGTTGTTTTAACGCCACGGTCAGGAAGAAAAAGCAAACTATCACCTGCTGCTGAGAGACAATTGTTCAGGATGGTCAAGAGTCAACCAAGAATCACTAAAAAGCAGGTCTGCAATGAATTAAAAGATGCTGGAACACAGATGTCAGTGTCCACAGTCAAGTGTGTTTTACATCAACATGAGCTGAGAGGCTGCTGCGTAAGAAAGAAGCTCATCTTTTAAAAACATCACCTTAAAGCCTGACTGAAGTTTGCTGCTGATCACATGGACCTTCTGGAGGAAAGTTCTGTGGTCAGATTAAACAAAAATTCAGCTATTTGACCACAATGACCAGAAACATATTTGGAGGAGGGAAGGTGAGGCCTTTAACCCCAAGAAAACCAAACCTACCTTCAACCTTGGTGGTGGCAGCATCATGCTCTGGGGCTGTTCTGCTGTCAGTGAAACTGGAGCTTTACACAAAGTAAATGGAATAATGAGGAAGGAGGATTCCCTTCTTCAGGAAAACCTAAAATCATCAGCTATAAGGTTGAGTCTTGGACACAGTTGGGTGTTTCAACAAGACAATGACCCCAAACACACTTTGAAAGTGGTAAAGAAATGGTTGAATCAGTCTAGAATTAAGGTTTTAGATTGTTCTCCAAATCCGATTCCCAACTTAAACCCTATCAAGAACCTGTGGGCTGTGATAAAAGCCAGAAAAGCCACCAAATGTAGTTGAAATGCACCAATTCTGCCAAGAGGATGGTCAAAGATTCAACCAGAAGCTTGTGGATGGCTACCAGATGGGTCTAGTTGAGGTAGAAATGACCAAGAGACACTTAACCAAATGTTCGTATAGCTGTATTTTTATTTTTGACCCAGCAGAGTTTGTCACATTTCCAGGAAAACCTATAATAAATCTACAAAAGAACCAAAATGCACCATTGTTCTTGTGACAAAGACACGTGTGTTTCATAATAAAGAGTTATAGATGTGTACATGACGAGTATTTACAGGAGTATGTAAACTTTTGTCCACAACTGTATGAGCGCAGACATCCAACAACCCAGCTGAGCGTTCACATACTGTAAGGACACGTGAGCCAACACATGCATGAACAAAGGAAACACATACCCTTGGTTGTGTGTGTGTCTGTGCGTTGGTGGTAAAGGTCAGTGTCGGCCTCCCTGCAGCTTTGCGGTTCTGCCTCTGTCAGTCACACCTGTAGAGCACCGCAGGTATCCAACATGCTTCATGACTGTCCACTCCCACACACACGTACCTGACATGACAGCCATTGTTCTTTTGCCATCTATTCTGCTGTCTGTTTCCTCACACGGCTATAAAAAAAATATCAAATAAATAAAATAACTCCATGTTATTGTGAGAGCGTCTATGTCAACAAGCATCAGCGCTGACATGTTTGTTTTGATATCCCGGGCATCATCGTCCACCCCGCTGCTTCCTTCTCATCTGTTCACAGTTGAAGAGTAATGGACTGATTAGGAGGGAGGAGGTGGTCGGAGGAGGCGGAGCTTCTTCTTCACCAAGATAAATTAACAGTAATCCCATCCAAGTCCCTTTCAGACATCCTTTGCATTAATCTGACAGCAACCGAACGTGTCTGAAAGCGAACCTTGCTCGCTTTTTGTTAAAGTTGTGACGACAATCTCACTGTTAACTCGGCAAAAGTCTGAACCTGCACTAACAGAAAGACGTGCAGAGTTATGTGGAGACTTTTTCAACATTTCAGTCCCAATATTTCATCCCAAAACATCACCGTTTGCAGCCCAACTTATAAAACACCTTTTTTTTTTATTATTCACTTATTTCAAACTGAAATGTCGCATTAAGAAGACTCACCACTAATGAACGGAGTCTAGATTTTGACATTAACAGGAGCTAAAGTTTCGTTTCCAGCTGTTTGTTTGGGAGTCTTTCCTCTACATGTATGAAACACCTGCAGCATCAGACAGCAGCAGGATCCACATGAAGACACCTGCACACATCTGTTTATGTGGAACGATGGCTGCTACTTTATTAGTTACTTATATTTATAATATAAATGAGCCCTGACGTGGAGACAGGATGGATCAGGACTGTGGACTTTCCTTCACTTCAGACAAGTTTATCAGCTGCAGTTAAATTATACGTAACATAGAACCGTCCTCAGATTGAAGCATGTCAGGATATTTTTAGACTAAATTTTCAGTACTTACAAAATCATAAACAAACTATTTTTTTTGGCAGTTTGGTCGTCAGCTTATCTTTGTCTAGATCCAGTCTTTAGTTTATCACTCGACGTTCTGTTTGTTCTTGTGAGAGTGACAAGTATTGCACTCATACCCTGGCTTTCTATGTCAACGTGGTAGGTACGTCTTAACTAAGCTGTGAGGAAAATTAATGTAAATGTAATCTTATCTAGTATATAACAGTCTTCCTGAACCACACTATCTTTCCGCTATTGGGAGAAAAAAACGCTCTGGCTTGTTGGTATTTCTTTGAGCTATTCATGAAGGATTTGGGTTTGGTGTTCCATCAAAATATGTTAAATTCTGTTTGTAAAATGGGATAATGCACCAAAAAGAAGAAAAAGAAACTAGCAGGGCTGCAAAATGTAAACTTTTAGGTTGCTGCTCGGAGGTTCTTGTTGTTGTTTCCCGTAGCGTAGAAAACTATAACACACAGCTGAAGTTAAAGCCGCCTGAAATGAGCTAGCAAAGGTAGACTGAGGCCACGTTTACATGTAGGCGGGTATTTACTGAAACGGATCTACGGTTTCAAAATTAACATTGTTTATTATTCAATCTTTGTTTACACAAACAACACCACATCGTTAAGAGCTGCTACGAGCTGCCAAACCTGTAGGGGGCAGTGTAACGAGAAGCATAAAGCCATGCTAGCCAATCAGAATCCTGGAAAAAACACAACAACGAATGGTGTAAATTACTTCCTGTTACTTCAACGGTAATGGCGCGATGTCAACCCAAGTATATGGACATATTGGCACTGTTTTTACAACAGCAAAAATAAAACTGTAAACACGGCCGCACACATGTGACGCTGATCCTCCCGTCTACAAGCAAACGTAAAGACGGAGTTTTTCCAAATCTCCATTTTGGCCGGAGTTTTCAGAAATGATCGATGACTTGTGGCTTTGTTTACGTGTAAACCAAACGCATTGAAATTAGGGCTGGTCCGAATAGCAATTTCGGTCCCAATTAATGACGGATATCCCCAATATTCAGGGATGCAGCGCGGTGGTGGCGAGTGAGTATTTTTTCCGACGGTGGGCGGTGCATGCGTGTTGAGGCTCCGACGGGCCGGAGTGACCGTGATGCACAGGCCGCATATGACTACTAAGACCAGTTTCTGTGTTTGGGTTAGCGGTGACGGCTCCGGCGGCGGGGGTATTCGGAGATCAACTTTGATATCCTGATTCCAGCACAGCGAACAAATAGTCGGCTAGTCAGCTATTCGGGTCCAGCCCTAATTGAAATATCACCATTTTTGCTACGTGGAATCAGGGCCTTATACCCTCAGTCTACATCTGGGGAGTCAGACTACTAGTGTGCCGCCTTGTCAACATATCAATGAAGCCAATAAGCAGGTGGAACAATCAGCTACCACAGATCATCTACGTACATTTTCTGACATGCATGTCCTTCGACTTCTTCCATAATTTTAATCTGTTGAATTATTAACCTAAGTAGTTGGCTGATGGGTAATCATGAGCATCCCACGCTCTGACATCTCCGTCTTTACGCCTCAAAAATAAGGCACAAGGGAATTTGCTTTACTCATTCGGTTGCATTCAGATTAGCTGGAGGTGAATAGTCTCAGGGCAGACGGGAATCTGGGCTGTAAGGAACAATGTTGAGAAATCCAAAAGGGGCCATCCCACTTCTGAAAACAGCTTCCTCCTCCTGCTCCTCCTTAAAGTGCCTTCTTCCCGTCTCCTGCAGGTATGGAGGTGCAGCGTCCCAAGCGTCAGGTGTCCAGCGAGGTGGAGGGCGAAGGCTTGTCGAGCAGCGCCGGTACCGCCGACAGTCCGGACCTCTACGTGAAGAGCGGCGCCTCCGACGACCCCTCCATCGACGCCGCCACCCCCGACCTCAGCCCGCCTTCCTCCTCGCCGCCCCACACCCCGCCTCCCCCCGCCCGGCCCACCCAGCGCACCAAGAGCGCCCGATTCCACCGGCAGAGCGCCGTGGACCACGGGGACCGGGGGAAGGAAGGGGGAGATAGGGGCGAGAAAGGCGGGGGAGGAGGGCAGACGGAGATCCAGGTGTTGATGGAGGGAGGCAGCGGGGGAGGGGAGGGCGTTGGGAAGGGGGAGTACCCGAGGGCCAACAGCTGGAGCGAAGACAAGAGGAGGGGCGTGCTGTCGAAAGGTGGAGGCGGGGTCAGCGGCCGAGGGGCGGGCCGGACCAACGGACACAAACACAGCTCCTCCAATCACAAGTCGCGGGAGCACGGCTCGTCCAATCACAGACAGGCCAGAGGGGACAGGTGGACGGAGTCGTCCTCGTCCGCCTCGTGGACATCCGGGCACAGGGGCGTGCACGGCAGGGCGGGGCGGCTGCTGGAGCAGGACGAGGAGAAAATCAGCAACTACGAGATGGAGATGAAGCCTTTACAGCCCAGAGACTCCGCTACCCACAAGCCCCATGGGCACGGGGAGGAGAGGCACGCCCACGGAGAGGGGCGCTCGCACACCGTGCAGCGGCAGAGGCACAAGAACCGGGACGGGAGGGAGGCCAAGGAGGGCAGGGAGGCGGGGAAGGACTCGGGGCACAAGCTGGACAGACCGGGGGAGAAGATGGATTCACGGCCTCTACGCCGAGACCTCACCCTCTCCCCCCCTCTGAAGTCCTCCCCCATCACGCCGGAGCAGCAGGACCACAGCCTGACGCTGAGCAAAGGCAACTCGGTAAGACTCCAGCACTGAAACACTAAAACACTGAAACACTGAAACAATCGACTCGCTCTGGAGGACGACGTCACAGCCGCACAAACACAATTTTAATGTTTTTTTTTATCAGTCTTTTTTTTTTTTTTTGACCGATTTCCCCTGTTTTGGTAAATTACAATAATATTATTTAGTCAACTCACACAAAAATATTATTAGTTTAAATGTTAACCATAAAAAATCTAAATTAAAAATTTAAAGAAATCCTCCCGGAACTGTAAATAATATCTAGAGTACAAATCTGAAGCTGCACAAGGAAGAATTCAAATGTTTTTTAATCCGATTACAATACAGTTATTATCTATTAAAATTCACACACACACACAAAAAGAATTTATATGTTAAATATAAAATAATCAGTCCAAAGCTGTAAATAATAATCCTAATAGAAAGATTAAAGCTGCACATGGGAAAATGTTTTTTTTTTTAATCAACTTTTACTGTTGCTTCAGAGATTTTTCCTGGTTTGTTAAATTACAGTTAATAATAAAAGTTACTCGTTAAATCACAGAAATAGACATCTTGTTTACATATTGTTATAATATTATTATTACTGTTATTTATTTTCATTGCTACTGATGATTTCCAAAGTAAAACTATTTCAGCTCTTTAAGTTCAGTTGGTTTTCAGGTGCAGTTAAACTTCACATTTGGTTGTTTATTAGTTAAAAGATTTAAATTCCTGCAGATTGTTTCTTCGCCTCCACACAGTGAAAGTTTTCTAAAGTGTTCTAACAGACGTTTATGGTGTATTTTTAATGTCAAACACTCAGAAGCAGCTGAACCCGATCAGTGATGTCATTTATGACGAAGCTTCATGCCGACTACCAATTTTGCTCTCAGAGCGTTTTTGGGACTTTCGGGGGCAAACAGCTGTGAAGGAGACCGGCAGAGTCAGCGTTTATTCTCAGTTTTCTAATTGGTTCTGGTCCAGTAATACACATAATAAGGCATCTTTACAAATGTCGTCTTATTTCTGCAGATCTGGCCGACGGTTCTGTTGGTTATTATAAAAAATAACGCACCTGTTTCAGGGCTGATATCTGCAAAGGTCCACGTTTAGCTCAATTTTTCACCATTTATAGGATAAAAATAAAGTTGGAAAAACGTGTTTCTGCATCACTGCATCTCCACAAATTAGCCTGATGGGAAAATCATTTATTTCGCCTTAATTTATATTAGTTATTACAATAACTAATATAAATGACGGCTTAATGAAAAGTGTTCTAGTCTGGAAATAGTGTGAAAAGAACACGATGTGCACCTACGATAAATATAAACCCACATGTAATCGTTAAATACTTCTGTCTACAACAATGAGCTGCTGCTTTAATCATAATTAACCTTTATTTAAACATTTAGGTGGAGGCTTCGTTTACAATACAGCCGAGCAAAGACACAATTAACAAACAGAACAGAGCTGAGATAAAGATGGCCGTAAATACAGATTCAAAACAACTTAAACAAGAGCAGAAGATGAAATAAAAAAAACAGCAACCCTGAATTGCAATAAGGATAAAAATAAAATAAAAGGTCCAGCTTTCGATCGCTCTGCAGGTTATTCAAGGTCGCAGCTGCACGGTGAGTAAAACTGGATTTCCCTGTTCAGGAGAAACAGCTGCAACGTAATCCAATCATCTGAGCGTGTTTGATAAGAGCCCACATTAAAATGGGGGAAAAAAACCAGAAAGGGCTTCATAAATAAATGGAACTCAGTGTCTGTTACACTTTACAGTGTTATATTATAATTATTACTGATGATGAATCACATCCAAGAGCTTAAGAGTCACAGCTGAGTCGTGCAGGAATCGTCCCCGTGATCCAGAACCGATAGAAAAGTTCCATCAATAGTTGTTTTTCTAGCGTGATTTGTTTCTGTCTCCATTCTTTGGGAAAAGCTTTCTATAAGATTTGGCGGCACAGATTTGCTCCCATAAGAGCATTAATGAGGTCCGGCGCTGATGTCGGGTAACGTGGGGTCGAGGTCGGGACCAGTCGAGCTCACGCACGCTAAAATGGTGAAATGATTTTGTAATGGGACTGAGTGTGTGCCCAAAAAAAATAAATCAAAAAATCCTTGTCAATGCCATTAAAAACTAACCAATAATACAGACTTTGTGCTCATACTACCAATACTTATTAGATCTTCTTATATATTTGTTTTTTCATTTTATCACACCACAATACTATAAAAGCAAGAAATAAGAAAAAAAAACCTCACACAAAAAAATGAAAATAAACCCAAAACCTTGTCAAAAAAACAAGTGGGACGAAGTCTAAAGCATTAACTTAATAACACCATTTCCTACTGTTTCATGTTTGCTTCAAACCTGATTCTTACAAACGTCTCAAGATTTCTTTAAACCTGCATTAAAGGTGAATTCTGTGATTCTAATTTCATACGTTTTATGTCAAATTCAGCGACTGTCTCCGTAGTAACACTGATGAAAACTTAATGCAATCTGGCGCTATTGTAATTTTTTGCATGTGTTTACTTTTGCACCATAAAACATTGCATATTGCTTGATTATTGCCAATTAATTTGAATTCATTTGAAACTGCTGACTCTAGAACAGAAGTCGGAACTTTCCTGTAATTTTATTATCAATGATGTTTAACTTCTGACAAAAGAAATAATGTGAACTCACAAATCACCACAGATTATTAGCCTACAGTGGGTAGCTATTGCTACAGCAAGCTAGGAAAGCATAGCATTATTAGCTTAGCATAAAGTCAGCAAGCTAACTAGTGCTGCAACAAGCTAATATGGCATAATGATGTGAACTTAACATAAAGTTAGCTAGCTCACTAGTGCTACAGTAAGCTGATGTAGCACAACATTGTTATTTTGGATAAAGTCTGCTAGGTAGCTAGTGCTACAATAAGCTAGCATAGCATAGCGTTATCAGCTAGCTAGCTAGTGCAACAGTAAGCTAATATAGTATAACAATGTAAACTTAACATAATGTCAGCTAGGCAGCTAATGCAACATTAAGCTTGTATAGGCTGGTGTTATTAGCTCAAGATAAAGTCAGTTAACGCACTAGTGCTACAGCAAGCTAATATAGCATAATGCTATTAGCTTAACATAGGGTCAGCTAGCTGGCTAGTGCTACAGCAAACTAATATAGTTTACTGTTGTAAGCTCAATATAAAGTCAGCTAGCTAGCTAGTGCTTCAGCATGCTAACATAGCACACTTTATTAGCTTAACATAAATTGAGCTAGCTATCTAGTGCTACAACATGCCAATATAGCATAACATTATTAGCTTAACATAAAATTAAGTAGTTAGCCTTTAGATAGATAATGGGGTTTTTTTGCTCCTGGTTAGCTATTATTTGTTTTATTAAATGCTTGTTTATATTTATTAATTTATCAGAAATTTAAGCTAAAATGTTTAAAATGATTGATGTTCATAGTGGAGCCTCAAAAGTTCTTCCTTTTACATTTTCACATGTTGCAGAAAACGAATTAGTAATTAGTTCTTCAAACTAAGTTCCCATATGACTCCTGTGACTGGTGCAGAAAACAGTACGTAGGCCTGTGTGCATGCTGGCTTTTTTATTTTTTTATTTTTTGTTAAACACAAATGTATTTAGTTCTTTCCAATATTACATCAAAACACCTTCAAAAACAAAAGAAAGATTTGTCAGACCAGGAAAATGAATTCAGTTTCATTTAAAGAAAACATTCACCAGCCCTGAGCTACCTGAACTACTAACATTAATTTGTATTTATGATCAATATTCACTCATATTTACTTTCCTTTTTGCTCTGTTTTGTGGGAGACGTGTCTCTTTGTTCAGCATCTATTTGCTGAAGTTGCTCTTTGGTGCTGCTCAGATAGTTCACAACCTGCAGAACTGAAATATTAAAGTTCCAAACACGGAGTTCAATCATTCCAGAGATCTGAGGTGAATCGTGGATCCATTTCACTTTACACCTGCTCGGCTGCTAGCATAGAACCGGTGACTATGGCAGCAGTTTGCAGTCGTGCAGGACGGCGTGGCGTCGGCCTGAGCATCAGCCTGGACAGCAGCTGCTCGGTGCGTTTGTCATATCTGTCATGTCGCTGCCACACATTGATTTCACTAAAAGGATTTGTTGCCCACTGTCATGAGGATACATCCCATCCCCAGTGACATAACACAATGTTATCCCACATATTAAGATAATCCAGCAGGAGAGGAGGCACGAGGTTTAACCTTGTGAAATAAAGAAAGATTTTTCTTTTTTTTTTTTTTTCTCGCAGAGGGATTACGCTGTTATAATATAATTTGTTGGCTGCGTCTTGACTGGAGCCGGTGGACGGCCTCCGCTAATCCCGGGGTTGTAATATGGTCGCGGCATTAGCTAATGAGAGTGAAAAAGCCACTCATCGTACGATTCTGAATCCTCGCACAAACTTTACTGTGAATGTGTGTTTGCAGCAGCAGCAGCAGCGATGTGACGCCTCGAGCCGAGACGATGCTGCTGCTGCTGCTGGAGTTCAGAGGCTGCTGCTGCTACCTGCCACCTGGAAGCATGAAGCCTTCGAATGCACGGATATATAGAGGCGGAGAGAGAACCCCAGCGGTCCTCTCTGCACCCTAGTAACAGCAGATTGGCAAACTGGCCCCTTCCTCACTTGAAGGCCCCCTATTGGTTAACCGGCGCTCTGTTGCTAGGGAACAGCGTATGCCTTGCTTCAGCGGCGGCCAATCGGTGGGCGTGTGTCGGTGACAGAGGGGGGGGGAGGAGGAGGAGGTGGTGAGGAGATGGAGGTGGTGTGTGTTTGTCTGTGTGTGTGTGTGTGTGTGTGTGTGTGTGTGTGTTGTGTGTTTGCAGCCGCAGAGAAGCAAGTGAGATTTGTGTAAGACAGGTTCACAGCACACACACAGATACTATCACACTCAGATAAATACACACAGCCGGCGCCATGGTAACAAACACCAGGGATGCTCCGACACACACACACACA